ACAAGTTAGTGCGTGAGTAACTACAATGCCAGTCATATTTAGACTACGGCAATATCTTTTTAAATAATACCCGAATGGTCTCTACTTGGAAGTACAATTTAAGTAATATATTGAACAACTCAAGCCGGTGGGAGTTATGGTGAAGGATATCACTAAAAAGAGAAATCAGCTCTAGTTACCGCACTATAAGTACTACACTAAATAGTAACTAATGGTTAGACATTATTTTAATAAGAATATAGATAAGTCAGATTGACTGATAGAAAACAATCACGAGTGCACGATGGATTCGTGTTCAGTGAAGGAACGTGGCGAAAACTAATCATATCGTACAAAGAAAATGTAGACAAAATATCCAAAAAAAATACAACTCCTAAGTAAAAGAGATTGTGGATTGTCAAAGCTTCAGTGTATTCTAAATAACATTAGATACTAGGCAAATGCTGTGGAAAAGTTTGACGTTTTTATTATAAAAGTAGATAATAACTTAAAATAAGAAACACGTGTTTAGTACGCAGAATAAACTATAATAATGAGATGAAGAGTATATAGCCAGACCTGAAGGATCTGAATGAACTCCATTTTTTTCTGAACTTGATCGGGAAAGATCATGCATGTCGACACTGTAAAGACGGACACCTTGAGATAGGACTTTACTCAGACAAAGTGTAGACAAAGAAAGAAATCCATCTTCGTTGGATGAGGAATATGACTTAGAGGTCATCGAAACAACTGGTTCCCACACAGGCAAGTTATGGACAATAGCTCGTATGGCTTCAGCTGCTGCCGTTCTTGATGTCCATGACTTGTGCCATAACAGATTTCTAAGCTAAATTTAGTAACAAAAGGAAAATAAGGCAGTGACAAATCATAAAATAACCAGTGACTTCAATCATATAAAATCTACTGTCGAGCATTATTAATTAAGAAAATAAGTGAGGTAGGACAAAAATTAGTCAATAAAGCAATGAAATAAATTGGAGTACAAGTGCAAAAAAGAAAGAAAATAAAAGAAGATTTACGCGACTAAAAAGTATATCGACACATTCAGGAGACTTTTTTGCAATTTCCCCCAATTGTTTAGCAGCTGCAGACCGTAAAGTGGAGTTTGGGGAATTCTGAAGTAACGAGAACAGCCTATCCAATCTAACCAAAAAAATAATATAAATTATTTTGAAAAATACCGGCTAGACATTAAATAAGTATAACGATATACAACAAGTTAGGACAAGATATAAGCACGAGGGAGGAAGCGAGGGAGAATAGGCGAAGCGATAAGGATTTATAGGAACCAAGAGTGGGACAATGAGGCTTAATATCGCA